ATTTTTAATATTGTTTCTTTTCATTTTTATTTTAATATAATTTTTTAAAATTACTTTTTAAATTTCAGGAATTATTTTTATCAACTGCATATTTTCTTATCTTTTTATTTCGTTATCCTTTTCTGCGCCAATTTTTTCAGTAATCGTAGATGTAAACTCCACAAATGCACACACACACCAACTTTCCTCATAGAAAAAATAAAATATTCACATAATTCTGTTTTATAGGTCACTAGTATGCGGAAACCGTGCGTTCATAGTATTTCTAAATTTACAAATTTCTTTGTCAAATCGAAAATTTCTAAGCACAAATTCAGCAAATACGCAGAAATGTCCAGTGTTGTTATATAATATTTTCAGTTCGTGTGCAAATCCTTTGCGCATTTATATCGTAGTCCTCACTATGAGCGCTTTGCACTCACTCTTACGCTTGTCCAATTCAACCACAAAGCCTTGAAATGCTCACAAGGATAATACAAATTTATTGGACATATTTTTTTTTTACTTTTCAAAATTTCGCCTTCGAAACTTTTTACGCTATTTTTATACGCTTTGCAGTTAGTACTACTTAGGATGTGTATATTATAGATTTTTGGCTTTATGAATTTTTGCCTCAAATTTAGCTAAGTATTGTAAACTTACTTAGGGAAAAGAAACAAAATTATACTCTCTACGATAGTCCGAGCAGCTGGCGACGTTGGGAGCGAATGCTGCGGTTCGACTAAACAGACTGACGATCAAGCAAGAAACCAGTGCGTTATGTTGAGGAAATTTTTCGGAAACATACATTTTACCCAACGCATACCAATGCAATGAATTGCGCAAAGCAACAACAATAGCGCCAGCAGCTGTCCGCTAGCCAGCGGTGCGATCGTGTGCAAGCATTTATCACGAGAGAGCATGTGTGAGCGAACGGCAGCGCTTTATATGATGCAATATACGCAAAGCGTGTGTGTGAATAGGACAACAGCAATCCTTTTGGCATGCAGGTTGGTAGCTGTGTGAGCTTTTGGTTGGTGCTAAGCAGGCAAACGCTGCGGTCAGGTGGGTGGTGTGCGGTTGATTGGCGCAATGATCGGTGACACGGGTAGAGAGTGCGGTTGTGTAAGTGTATGTGGGCGCTGTCTTGATCGCTAGCATTGTTTTTGTTGTAGCCAATGCTGCTGCTGTTTTTGTTGCTGTAAGCTATCATAAGCATAACTAATTTGAAATCTAAACTTTTTATTTGAGACATTCTTGTTTTTCACATGCATGCACCAATACACATGCACACACTCGCATACAGCGCCAGCAGTCCACCTACGTGTTGCAGCAACGATAGTCAAAAGTGGCAACAGGCCATAAAACAACAACGCACAACCACCAAGCAGTCGCTTGTTTGTGTGTTATGTGCGTTTCAGTGCCGGTGGTTGATTTTTTTATTGTTGTTGTTTTTTTAATTTTGTTTTTTCTGTTCTTGTATGGGTGGTATTGCCAAAGCCGCTGGCGTTGACTGTGATTCATTTCGGCGTCGCCGGGTGCGGCCGCTATTTCGCGAGGTGCTGTTAGCCACCGAAGACTGTGCCGCTGCCTCACGTTGTTGTTGGTCTGTTGGTGTAGGCGAGCATTTGTTGTTTGGTCAATGAAAAAAATAGGAAATACGAAAAAATAGCAAATTATAAAAACAAAAATGTGTGTGCGGTCGCTTGATTTTATGAAAATTGCCTACATTGTATACATTAGATATTGGTTGGTGGTATTTTTCTCGATTTCTTTTTATTTTTAAAGCGAATTTGTGCTTTTCAATTTCTCAAATATTTCGCGCATATTTTCACTCGCTTTTTATTGTAGAATGTGTGCGCCGGTGCACACAATTCAGTTTCAGCAACGGTTGATTGCTTAATACGCGATATTGCGGCTTTCGGTGCACACGGGGCGTATACGTAACCTGAGGGTGCTGTATGAAAGCTGAAGAATAATTGCTTGTAGAACGAAATACTTGCAATGAATGCATATATACAAAAGCACACATATATATATAACAACATACATACATATATCAATATACTTACATATATATACACAAGTATAAGTATGACAGCGCCTAATTGCACTAATGCGTTTTTATACCTCGTTATAATAAGTTTGCCACGAAGTTTGTAACATGCAGAAGAAAATGTCAGGCATCCTATAAGGTAGCATGACCAACTGAGTTGATTTAGCCATGTTCGTTTCGCTATCCATCTGTCTATATAAACGCGGTTTTTGAGGTATCTATCCGAAATTTTGCAAACGCCCTTTTCTTTCCCAGAAGCTGCTCATTTGTCCGAACTGCTGTCATCTGACCATTACAACATATAGCTGCCATACCAACTGATTGATCAAAATCAAGTTCTTATATGAAAATTTATTTTATATCAAACAAAATCAAGTTGTAGTAGCTGAAATACAAACTGATTGATCAAAATCAAGTTCGTGTATGAAAATTTATCTTATATGACTTGATATCTTCACACAAATTTGTATAAATTGTTATCGAAAGCATCACTATATTTTCATGTCAGTTGCCATATAAACTGACTAATCAAAATAAAGTCCTTGTATGGAACACTTTTTTATTTGACAAGTTATCTTCACGAAATTTATCACAGATGATTGTCTCAGGCTGTATTACTTTCTCCTAAGAAATTGTTCAGATCGGATCACTATAGCATATAGTTGCCATACCAACTGAGCGATCAAAATAAAGTCCTTGTATGGAAAAGTTTTTTATTTGACAAATTATCTTCACGAAATTTATCATAAATGATTGTCCCAGACAGTACTACTTTCTCATAAGAAAATGTTCAGAATGGATCACTATAGCATACAGTTACCATATACACCGACCGATCAGAGTCAAGTCCTTGTATAAACAACTTTTTTATTTGACAAATTATCTTCACGAAATTTATCATAAATTATTCTCAAAGCCACAGCTATTTTCTCCTAAGAAATTGTCCCGATCGGAGACCTACAACATTTAGCTGCCATATAAACTAAACGATTAAAATGAAGATAAAGATATTCTATACCCTTTTATGTTATACAAAAAAAAAAAAAAAAAAAAAATACATTTGTGTAGAGTATTATAGTTGCGTGGCGGCCGAAATTATAATTTTGTTTGTTTCTTTCTGTAGTTGTCACAAATTTTTTGGCATGCAGCTCTGTCAAATGTTGCTTGCGTAATATTCAAACGCAAATGTCCCCAAAATTGTACACTCCAACATATTTATATTGGCATTGCTGCCTGTAAGACACCGTGCATTTCTACAACCGCCTATGTATTTTTCCTGCTAACCTCCTAAATTTAAGTCGATCTTTGTGCGGCCATTCAGCACTCTGACAATTTGTTTTCGCTGAAGATACACGTGTACATACATACATATATATGCATATAAGTATGCTTTGATTGTGCGGCCCATTGCATTTCCTTACAATTCCTGTTTGGCTGCGTTGCAAACAGACCGGCTACACACAGCTGTTGCTACTATAACATTGTTGTTTTTGTTGCTTTTGCTGTTCTTATTATTGCTAGAATGGGCAGTGGGCCAAGTGATGCTCACTGCTCCTACTCAGCACTGCAGCAACGAACAGACAGCACTAGTCAAAAGTGAATACCAAAAATAATAAAAAGTACACACCAATGCATCGCCGCAAAATAACAAAAACAACAAATTGCATTCATGCTGTCAGCACTTATACACATGAATACTGTATATTTATAAGTGTATGTATGTAAATATGCATGCCATCATGCATTTATTCGAATGCACTGTTATGAGCATAAGCATTGAATACATTTTATTTCAAGTTAATAAATATGTTTATATGCGAACACTTGTGTATCGTATGTTGTGCATAGCTTAAATTTTCATTTCATATTAAATAGCCAATGCCCGACTGAACGGGCCTGACTGGCCGGCTGGTATTCGTGAAATGCGCATTTGCCCGCTTTTATCCCGACCACCGGGAATTGTGTTGAAATTTCATAAATTTGGCAAGCGTCGTTGCCTTTGCATATATTGCATTAGCGTGCATACTCACATAATATTCAAATCATATATAATGAATATTGAATTCTTGTTTATAATAAAAGCTTAGTGGCGCTCGAAAATATTTATTTTTCACCAATTACTTAATAATTATTGCCATATATCATAATGAGCTCATAATTAAATTCCACAAACAGCATGCTAGTTGATAAATATCGATTAAATATTGAAGTATTCACATTTTTCAAATTTATTCACCTTCATTGGGAAGCAAATTTGTAATTATGCTATTAAATGAGCTACAGAAACCTTAATCATAGACATTATTGCAGAAAGCTGTGTTTATTTGCATAAATATTTAATTCATGGCCTCTGACTGAAAAATCATACACGAAGAATAAAAATTATGATATTTGAGTCTAGTCTTCACTCTGAAGGTATACAAGTTTCCTAATATCAATCAAATAGCTTAGATAAAACTCTAAATTTCGAAAGAAATTCAATTTAGTTTTAAAAACGTTAATTCAATTTACATATTCCTGCAGCATTTCTTTCTTAATTTTTAATTACAAATATTTATTTGAGATCTAGTTAAGGGATACACATTCCCAAGCCGAGGTTGCAGCCATAAAGCGGTTGCATGGGTTTCCTCGGATAAAGTCCGGCTTTTTTCAACAATTTTATTCTCACATAAAAAATGAATTATTTTATTAGAATTTTGTATTATTACAAACCTACACCACACCACAAGTATTCACCAAGAAATTCTGAAATTTATGGAAAAACAAATTTTAAACTCAGCCTTTGTGACGCCATTTCTGGTGACCCCTCGGAAAAAAGATGTTCCCGCGTTGGCAAGATAACTCCTTACAGGACCATCTAAATGAAAAATACGTGTTTTAGGTAAAGGCTTAACTTAAAACTTGGACGAAGGAAAAAAACTGGAAATTGTATTTTTGGCACACATTTTTACAAAAAAAATTTCACGACTTTTTTACAAATTGTTGCAATCAAAAAATAATCCTTCGTCTTTAAGAATTGTCTCTCAAAGACCTGTGTAAAATTTCATGAAGATCGGTTCAGTAGTTCTGGAGAAATCATGCCAACCGACTTCAGCTCGATGTAAACGCGTTTAAAGACGGCGCACTTAGTGGCAACATTCTAGAGGTGTTGTAAAATTTAATAACACTTAAAAAAAATAGATTTTTTGAAACCCGTAAATCCATGTAACCCCATAATGAAATCTCCTTCATCTCCCATGTACTCCATATGTAAAATTGACGGTTTGCACCTTAAGGTATTTCCTTGGCTTTGATTCACGTGACAAGTTCACAAGAGCAATGTTCAACGTTCCCCTAATATCTTGTTCTTGAAATTTCCGATCTGTCAACTCCGTTTTGCAGGCGTGTGTCGCCACCATATTCTGACCATTGATTATTCCAAATGAGTTTAGAATCCTTTCTGTCCAAAATGAGTAAGAACTTTGTGTATTTCTGATCAACCACTTTGCACATGACGTTTGCAGTTTTGTCTACCGGATCATGCCATTACCGTTGTTGATCTTCCTTACAATGCTCCTATCCAGATGGTCAGAAAGACAATGCAGTGATTTACCAACGGCAGTCACATTTCCGTATGACCTCAGCCACTATCTGTATTGGCTTTCGTCGATACCTTTATGATCAGACACCCAGTAGCAGCAAAGTCTCTTGTTATAGGCCACATTCTGCGCTGATGCCTAGC